TGGCTAATTCAAGGCCCAAAAGGATCACCTCCACTCCAGCCCGTCTCAAGGATTACACTACCTAGAGATCCCACCGTTGCAACAAACTGCTGAGTCACATTATTCTTTTACTAGATATTATGCTATATTTGATAAGTTTTTATTCTGTTAGATTTTATTCCCTTTCAATCAAGTAGCACCATCGGATTGTAATAGACTTGATTTGCACTCTCTGTATTTGACTATATAGCCTATTTCAGATGAATGAATCAGCAAGCTTGAAATAAAAAAATATTCCTTCTTCTTCTACTATATTCTCAGGGGTTCCCTTAGCCATCAATTAAGGAAGAAAACATCATAACAATTGGTGCTTTCATTTTAACTCTCCTCCCATGGCCAATCGTCCCATCAATGTCGAGCGTTTGGATGATTTAACCTTCAAGGTTGATTCCATTTTGGAACAACTTTCCCTTTTGACCATCAAACCCACCACTCCCCCACCAAATACTTCTACTTCCACACCCACTCACGATGGGTTCTGTCGTCCACATATGAAGCTCGAAGTTCCATGGTTTGATGGAACCGAAGCTCTGGGCTGGATCTTCAAAATTTCTCAATTTTTTGAGTACCACAACACGCCGGAAGAGGAATGCCTCCAAGTCGCATCCTTTTATATGGAGGGTCCAACTCTTAGTTGGTATCAGTGGATGTACCGAAATGGTAAGCTCCAAACCTGGTTAGGGTTCCTCCATGCCTTGGAAACTTGCTTTGCTCCGTCACTATACGATGAACCTTCTGGTGCATTATTCAAACTTACACAGAAGGGTACGGTTCAGCAATACCTCACAGAGTTTGAACAACTCACCAATCGCATCGTGGGTTTACCACTTACTTTTGCCCTGAATTGTTTCATTTCCGATTTATCACCAGAAATTCGTCACGAGGTCCAAGCCCTACGTCCTGTATCTCTTGATCATGCGACTCAGCTTGCAAAATTGCAAGAGGATAAAATAGAAGAACATCGTCGCTCTTTCCGACAGAGGAACCATGGTCCCACTCTCATTTCATCTGCAACCCCTACCTCTGCCCCACCTTCTGCCCCGCTCCTCCCTACGCCACAACCCCGTGTCAATTTTCGACGTCTCAATCCAGAGGAAATGACTTCTCGCCGCAAAAAGGGCCTATGTTATAACTGCGATGAAGTGTTCACCCCGTCACATCGTTGTAAGGCAAAATTTTTCCTCCTAACCACTGAAGATGCCATCTCTGACAACTTCACTCCGGATCCTCAATTGATCCTTTCCCCACCACCAACAAATCCTGATGACACTCCTTCATAAGTTAGCCTCTATGCCTTCACTGGTGGTCTCGCTTCTTCAACTATTCGACTACAGGGTCAGATTGTCAACCACTCTATTTCCATTCTCGTTAACGGCAGTAGTGATCACAACTTCATTTAAAGATCTGTAGCAAAGTTCTTAGAGCTTCCTTCAATCCCTTACCATCCACTCACCTTCGTGGTTGGTAGTGGGACTCTTATGCGATGTGATTAACTTCGTCCTGATGTGAAAATTCAGATCCAAGACCACACCCTTAATGTCAATTTTTACATCCTTCCCTTGCGAGGTGCAGATATCGTCTTGGGCGCTCCCTGGCTAAAATACATTGGGCCTGCTCTCATGGATTATAACCAACTCACCATTTCAGTTACCCAACAAGACCAACCCATTACTATACAGGGGATCCAACACCAACCTGACCCAATATCCAGCCCACAACTTAAGTGTTGTCTCCAGACTAATGGGGCCTCTGAACTATTCACCATACAACTAATATCCCTACCCGATTCTACCCCAACTCATCCACCCCCCAATACATGACCACCACCCCCATAAATCACACAACTTCTCCATCGTTTCGACAAATTATTCCAGCCACCACAATCATTACCTCCCTCTCGCCCCACTGATCATCGTATTCACCTTCTCCCCAACTCCACACTGGTCAACGTCAAACCGTATCGATACCCACACTCACAAAAATTTGAATTGGAAAAACAAATCCAAGAGATGCTTCATACGTCCTTGATTCAACCAAGTCAGAGTCCATTTTCTTCGCCTATATTATTGGTGCGTAAAAAGGACGGTAGTTGGCGATGTTGTGTTGATTACAGGGCTCTCAATGCTATTACTATCTGTGATCGCTTTCTTATGCCCACCATTGATGAGCTTTTGGACGAGCTTGGTGGTGCAACCTGGTTTTCTAAACTTGACCTCCGACAAGGCTTTCACCAAATCTTGATGCATCCAAACGATATTGCGAAGACCGCTTTTCGCACACACCAGGGACATTACGAGTACAAAGTGATGCCATTCGGCCTCTGTAATGCTCCTTCAACTTTCCAAGCAGCTATGAATGACCTTCTCCGACCATTTCTCTGTCATTTTGTTGCAGTATTTTTTGACGATATTCTTGTGTATAGCCCTTCCTTCCCACAACATACCTCACATTTGGAACAAGTCTTCCACTGTTTATTAGAAGGTCAATTTTATCTCAAACCTTCCAAATGTTTGCTGGCAGAAAGGCAATTGGAGTATTTGGGACACATCATCTCTGTAGCTGGAGTTCAACCTGATCCATCAAGTTTTTATCGGAAGTTTGTCAAAGGGTATGCCACCATTGCCTCTCCGCTTACTGCCTTACTTCGCAAGGATGCTTTTCTTTGGACACCAGAAGCTCAAAATGCATTTGATGCCCTCAAGCAAGCCATGACTCAAGCTCTAGTGCTTGCTTTACCAGATTTCTCAGTTCCTTTCACCATCGATACAAACGCTTCTGGTATAGCTATGGGCGCAGTTCTCATGTAAAACAATCACCCAGTTGCATTTTTCAGCAAGCCATTCTGCCCAAAGCTTCTCAATTCATCAACATATGTGCGTGAACTACATGCCATCACTTTTGCAGTAAAGAGGTGGCGCTAATACCTTCTGGGGCACCCCTTTGTCATCAATACTGATCATAAAAGCCTGAAAGAGATCCTATCCCAAGTGATTCGAACTTCGGAACAACAACATTATCTTTCCAAATTATTGGGGTATGAATACAAGGTTCACTACAAACTAGGCCCCCACAATGTTGTTGCTGATGCACTTTCTAGACGTCTAAACACTCCAACTGGTATGTATTTCACCCTTTCCATGCCTAACTTTATTTTTATGGATCAATTGAGGCAATTTGTGCCTGCTAGCAGTTCCTATAATGCTTTACTTCTTCGTATTCAAAATGAACCTGCTACTCTTCCAGATTATAAGTTACATAATGGTTTAATTTTATTCAAGAATCGTTTGTGGCTTGATCCTGGTAATAGTTTCCGCCTTAAGCTTGTGGATGAATATCACAGTACCCCACTCATATGGGCATCACAAAAACATTGGCAAGATTATTGGCCAATCCTTATTGGGAAGGTCTACGTAAAGATGTTAAACTTTTTATCCAGCAGTGCACCACTTACCAACAAGTGAAATTTGATACCCTCAAACCAGCCAGTCTTTTGCAAACCCTACCTGTGCCCACGACTGTTTGGGAAGATCTATCCCTTGATTTTATTACCGGATTACCCCCTTCTCAGGGATTCACTGTTATTTTGGTTATTGTAGACAGATTCTCTAAAGGTGTTCATTTGGGACTGTTGCCAACACAATATTCTGCTTCTAAGGTGTCTCAGTTATTTTTGGAAATTATTTGTAAATACCATGACATCCCTCCCAGTCTTGTATCTGACCGTGACCCCATATTCATCAATAAGTTCTGGCATGAATTATTTCGTCTTTGTGGTACTAAACTTCGAATGAGTACATCATATCACCTAGAAACGGACGGGAAAACTGAGGTGTTTAACAGAGTTTTAGAGCAATACCTCCGCTCTTTCGATCATTCCAACCCTGCGCAGTGGTCAAGTATTTGGGCCTGGCTGAATGGTCTTATAATACTTCCGTTCATTCCTCCATTGGGTACTCACCTTTCCATATTATCTATGGCAAGCCTGCCCCATCTTTGCCAAATTATTTACTTGGTTCTTCTATAGTGGAAGTTGTTGATACTTTGTTGGCATCACGCCATTCGATGTTAGCATAGTTGCAGAAGAAACAACTCAACGCTCAGGCCACTATGAAGCTTTATGCTAATGCCAAACGACGTGATGTAACTTATGAAATAGGCGATTTAGTGTATGTCCGTCTCCGCCCATACCGACAACGGTCTCTCTCTTGTTCCACTTATAACAAGCTTTCCAAGATGTTTTACGGCCCCTACAAAATTCGAGCCCGCATTGGTTTTGTTGCTTACCAATTGGATTTACTAGTTGAGTCCAAAATACACCATGTTTTCCACTCTTTGTTGCTGAAAAGACACCATGGCACAGATCCCGACATCACTCCTTTACCTACTGAGGCATTCAACAACCAACCCATCATTCGATCCTTGGCAATTTTGGCAACTCGCATGGATACCTCCACTAGTCCTTCAACCAAACTAGTTTTGGTTAAGTGGTATGGGCTCTCACCCGATGACACCAGTTGGGAAGAATGAAAACAACTCAGATCCGATTATCACCTTGAGGACAAGGTGTTTTTTCCGGAGGCGATGTTGTTAGCAATCAGGCCACACTGCCCTTGGCTAATTCAAGGCCCAAAAGGATCACCTCCACTCGTGTCCATCTCAAGGATTACACTACCTAGAGATCCCACCGTTGCAACAAACAAACTGTTGAGTCACATTATTCTGTTACTAGATATTATGTTCAATCAAGTAGCACCATCAAATTATAACAGACTTGATTTGCACTCTCTATATTTAGCTATATAGCCTATTTCAGATGAATGAATCAGCAAGCTTGAAATAAAAAAATATTCCTTCTTCTTTTACTATATTCTCAGGGTTCCCTTAGCCATTAATTAAGGAAAAAAACATCATAACAGTTTGCTTCGTGAAACACAATAACAGCTAGGACATCATTAATTCAGCAATCAGTGTCTAGACGTTGAGCCAGAATTTATTGGTGTGAAGCGGTGCAGTTTTGGCTTGACCAAGTGGACTGCTCGGAGGTGCTTTGGTCAAGCAAGAGTGGCCAATGTTGGTGCAACTTAGACACTAGTGCAAAAAGGGGCTTTTACGTCAGGTATTTAGGGCTTTTTACGTCGTATTTAAGTCCGACGTAAAAGCGGGAGACGTAAATTTACGTCGGACCCTTTTACCCGACGTAGATTTACGTCAGTTATGAAGATACGACGTAATTTTGCGTGGCATATACAATAAACAGACGTAAAAACCTTTTCAATTTAAAAAAAAAAAACAGAAAATTTACGTCGCATACAAGTATATACGACGTAAATTTACAGTCGCATATACCATATGCGACGTAAATTTACGTCGCATACTAATATATACTGACGTAAATTTACGTCGCATATACCAATATGCGACGTAAATTTACGTCGCATATACCATATGCGACGTAATATGGTATATGCGACGTAAATTTACGTCGCATATTGGTATATGCGACGTAAATTTACGTCGTATATACAATATGCGACGTAAATTGACTTGTTTTTTTTAAAATTGGGTTTATTTACTCGTTTTACAACTAAAACCTGCAAAAATTACAACCAGACAGATTCAGACAGTTTTCTTTTGCTAGTAAATTAAAAATATAATATTATATAATTCAAACTACATAATAAAACAAAATAATACAAACATACAAACTAAAAAATCTATTACAAACTAAGCTACCTATACAAACTAAGCTACCTATACAAACTAAGCTACCTATACAAACTAAACTAAACTACATAATACACACAATATAATATGAACAAGAACATTATATATAATATTTATAATACGTTACTTTATTAAATAATTATTTTATTGTAATATATTTAATAAAAAATCATTTAAATAATAAAATATTGATTTGATTTAGTTCAAATATATTTTAAAAAATAAAAATCGAATCACAGAGAACTACATTTAAATTTAAATTTTATGTTTAGTTTAGGTGAATCTTTAATGCAAAATCGAATTAAAGTGTGAAGTTTATTGAATTGGAAAAAAGTCGCGATGAATCAGAATCACATTCATCAAGAAGGCAACTTATTTGGCAAAGCATCTAATGGCGTGGTGCAGTGGATTAAATCACGAATCCATATTTGATTGACGATGGTGCAAATTAGACGCAACTGATGAGGCAGTGTTGAATTAATGCATCTCAAATTAATGCAGCAAATTAAAGGCAACGATTGAATTGCTTTGGAGTGAAGTGAGTGTAACTGAATTTGATTGGAGCGGTATGATACAATTGGTGATGCTTGAAGCATCGTTTTGGCACATTCTTGAAACGGTGATACCACCAGCCTTTGATTAATAGTCATCCAAGATTATGATTGAAATGAGTAGAAATAGGATTGGCTGGCGGTGGTTTGTTTTGATCGGTGCTGCTGAGTATGACGCTGAATTAAACCACAATGCAGTTTTAGAGTTGCAAGCGGTGCGAATTGAAAATTGAATCGGTCATGTAAATAAATTTATATTGATGATTTGAATTTGAACTGGATTCGGTGGGGTTGCATGTATCAATAGTTTATTTGTGGCCCCTGGTTCCGACACTCATCAAAATCTTGTAGGGCCAGTAGTGAGGTGTAATTGGTTAAAGCATTTTCTCAAGCATCGATGCTAATCATGGTCCTTGGATTCGTGTTAATTCTTTTGTTAGTTTTGGCTAACCAAATATCTGACCATCTAATTATTTTCATTGTGATTTATGAAATTAAATATTTAAAATTGACTTTGTAATATTGTTAGTAAAAGAAAAATCGATACCAGGATCGAAAGAACAAGAGAAAGAAAATTGAAGATCATATGGTTGGTTAAAAAATTGATAAGAGACAGGTAAAAGACACTCAATAACCACAAGATAAAAACACATCGAGAATCGAAGAAACGAATTTCGAGGTCTATTTGTTGAAGAGAATTGAGAAATTAGAATAGTGCAAATTTAAGATTAAAAGGAATCAAAAGCAATTCAAAATACTCGATGCCTAAAATCGAGATCGAAGGAACGGTTAACACACACATGGAACATGGGAAACGGTTCCTAAACCGTGGCTGAGATCGAAGATCAAGGGAGCAGTTCTCTTATGCGTGAGAACGTGGAATGCAGTTTTTAAACCGTAAGACTTAGGGACGTGCACGTAGGATCGTGGTGACAGTTTTATTAACTACTCTTAGGAGATTACTTGAAGGATGCTCTATAAATAGAGCAAAGACTTGAAAAAGAGAGGAAATTGGCAGAGACAACAGAAACACAAGTGAAAAAGTCCATCGGAGAATGACGAATCATGAAATTTCTGGCGATCTGGGTTTCCATTTTCATTGATTTTCTGTATCGCTTTCTTTACTTTCCCTGGTAATTTATGTTCATGCAATTTAATTTGATGCAAGTTTACGTTTAGCAACTTTAAGTTTCTGCATTTTCAATTCCTTGTTATTTTACTTTTATGTAAGTTGAGATTCTGCGTTTAAGTTCTTCGCTATTTACACTTCTGCAATTTCGATTTCCTGTTATTTACATTTCTGCAATTTCGATTTCCTGTTATTTACATTTCTGCGATTTTGATTTCCTGTTATTTACATTTCTGCAATTTCGATTTCCTATTATTTACATTCCTGCAATTTCGATTTCTCGCCATTTACACTTAATGCAAATTTGAGGTTTCCGTTTTTTACATTTCCCTGCAATTTAATATTCCGCACTGCTTTTTGATTCAACACTTCTTTTACTTCGCATTTCTTAAGAAAAAACATCAAAAATAGTACTTTCTGTACTCTAGGTCATGCCGTTTTACATTATAAGATTCTCGATTCTCATGCATTTTTCGATTGAAAACTAGTTGCTAGCCTAAGTAAAAAGAATCTACATGGTTGAGATTTGATTAGAACTTAACTCCCGATAAATCGAAATCGATCAAATTTTCACCAGAAACAAATTGGCGCACCAGGTAGGGGGTTTGTGTCAAAAAACACAAACAATTGGTTAGTTCGAAAGTGTATGAGATTAAGGAGTGGACGGACATTGAGAATGAGTCAAAATACACCACATAACCAGAATAACAATGAGATTCCAAATAGTTCACATTTGTCAAACACTGGGGGGCAAGTTCACAATGGGAATATGCCCGTAATATCGACAAATGTGAATACGTCGATACCTGTGAATGTTGAACAAAGCTGAGGCACATCGGTAAACACTCAGTTAGGGTCTGGCCCTGTAGTGTCAAACAATATACAAACTACAGGGAATCCCGTAACAACATATGCAGGACCGCATATGAGTGTAAGACCGCCTGGCTTTTCGATTAATAATATGAATGGGGCTGGTACTTCTTCAATGCAACGAAGTATGAGATTTAACCTAGGAATGCCCCAAAACTTAGGCACATTTCAAACTTTAGGCATGCCTCAAAATTTTGGAGTATCTCCAAATTTAGGAGTGTCTCAAAATTTAGTAACTCCCCAGAATTCAGGGAATGTGCAGAATTTAGGAACACAACAAACGCCTCCGGGGTCAAACATAGATCATAGAGCAAACCCAGATCACGGGAGATACCTAATCGATAGAGATTATCATCGATCCAATTTTGAGACTATCGAAAATGCTAGTACTGGAATTTCCAGTAACTCATTAGGAGTACTTCGACAACAAATGGACGAAAGCAATTTCGAGATGGTTAACATGTTATCACAACAGTTGACTACAGTACTGAATCCATTAGTTCAAAATACCACCACTAGTTTTGAGATATTAGCAGACCAAATGTCACGTATCGGAGATGCATTGGCGATACCTTGACAAACAAGGGTCGAAAATAATGCCAATCAGAATATTAACCAAAACGCTAATATCAATCCCCTTTATTTATTAAGGAGGAATCAAAACAATGATCAATATCAGCAGGTTAGGAATGATACTTATGGAAATTTAAATGAGGGATGTCAAAATATGTACAATCAAAATAACATGCAGTACAATCACCTGATGGGACAAAGAATGAATCCTCAGGGAATGGAATTAAGACCACCTCATCAACAATACTTTGTTTCTCCTTTTCCAAATATGATTCTTGAGACAGAATTACCTCGAGGATATAAGATACCCAAATTTACCAAGTTTACTGGAGAAATTGGCGAATCCACTATCGAGCATGTGGCGCGATACCAAATCGAATGTGGAGACCTAGCGATGAGCAAGGAATTAAAAATGAAATATTTTCCTAGTTCATTAACAAAAAAATGCTTTCACTTGGTTTACGTCGTTGCCACCGAATTCAATACACAATTGGATGCAGCTGGAAAGAAACTTTCATGAGCAATTCTTTAGGGGAGAAACCCAAGTAAGTCTTATCGATTTAATGAATGTAAAGAGATACAATCACGAAAGCATAGATGATTATCTGAATAGATTTAGACAAATGAAGTCGAGATGTTTTACCCAAATTCCTGAATTTGAGTTAGTCAGAATGGCCTCCGTAGGCTTAGAATTCTCGATTAGGAAAAAGTTAGTTAATTTACCTTTGAATGATATGGCTCAATTAGCTGATAAGGTGAGAAGAGTGGAACAAATCGAATACGAGAAACAAAGGTACAAGAAATTTGAGAAACCTTTGAGGAAAGATAAGATAGCGTATATAAATGACATATATGAGGAAAATCCCAAGATAGAAGGAGATATGAGAGAATCCGTCGATGAAAAAGTAAATATAGTAGAGCTCAAAGTAGGAGCCCCATATATTTGTAAACTGCTACAGAAAAATGAAGTGAAAGACAAAATGGCAAATCGCACGTATACTTTTGATGTAACAAAGGCAGATAAAATCTTCGATATTTTATTGAAAGATAAACAGATTAAGCTGAGTGATGATCATAAATTACCTTCTGCAGAACAAAGAAATGATCGAAAATATTGCAAATTTCATAATATCTATGGGCATTGGACTAATAATTGTATACATTTCAGGAACACGATCCAAGATGCAATCGACCAAGGAAGACTGAATTTGAGGAGATGTCAATGAAAGTGGATACGAGTCCATTCGAAGTTCAAGTAGGGTATATCGAGTCCCAAACGGGCATGACTGAAGATGTCCGATTAATGGATTCGACCTTTATAGGTATGGTCGATGTTACTGAAGACATTGATCCCAAACATGTCAGAATGGATATGTCAGAAGAAGACATAGAGTTCGACTTAAGTGAGTTCGAGAAAGAATTCGAAAGAGAGATCTATCCTCGATCAGAAGATTCCCTCGTCGAGTTTTTGAATAGAAAGAAAGAGAAGGATGAAGAGGTGACATTATGTCCACAATGCAGTGCGGTGTTCGAAAGATCAGCTGCTAAGGCCTTCAGGGCAGGACAGATCAAGAAAATAGAGAGTCAACATAAAAGCTGCAATGATAAAGTAGATCAAACCATCAAAGCCACGGTGGAGGAAAGTCAGCAGAAATCTGTGGGTTCGGGTGCTAGCAGAAATCAGAAACAATGGGTTAGAAAAGAAATATATTCTCCTCGAGGAGGAAGAAGTAGACTTCAAAATAATGATGTTTTCGATAGACTCTCATATGATGAGGGATCCAATACTGGATTTCCTATATTTCAAAGGAGATTTCGAGGAAGGCCTTGGAGGAGAGGAGGAAGGATCCCTTACTGGGGAAGGATCAATAATTATAGAGACTTTGAAGAAAGCAATGCACCAATTGGGGATCAATATGTAAGAGACTTTGTCGATGACAAAAATGGAGGTAGTTGGGATAGACATCAAATTGGGGTAATATCGATATTACCCGCGGAATATGTTAGCGAGTATGAGGAGTATCAAGGGCACGTCGATCGAGAGGATGATTTCTACTCTGAAGACATGAGACCGAAATTCACATGGGTAACACAAGCATCATGCAAAATACCTCACAGAGATGCTGCTTTTATCGATCTCCCATTAGAAGAAATGAGGTTTCATCTGAAACCTTTATTATTGAACATCGAAATTCAAGGACAGAAGGTGAATAAAGTCCTTGTTGACGGTGGTGCAGCGGTGAACATATTGCCAATCACTATGCTGAGGAGGTTTGGTATCGAATTAAAAGACTTGGTAAGACACAATATCATGATTTCCGACTTCAGTGGGAAATCCTCGAGCTCAGAGGGCATGATTGCTTTAGATGTGAAAGTGGGGACTTATTCAAGGCCTACTGTATTTGTAATAGTCCAATCACATGACAACTTTAATGCGTTACTTGGTAGGGAGTGGATTCATGGAGTTGGAGTTGTGCCTTCTACGGCTCATCAGAAGTTGTTTATGTGGAATCGAGATGGACATCTCGAGATAATTCCAGGAGACCAACACGAGTTTGTAACATTTGTATCTCAGGCTAGTCAGTCATTACAGAATTTGGTGCTCACTCAACCATTCACCTTTGAGACTGTCGAAGACTTTAA